CTCCTACTCCTACTCCTACTCCTACTCCTACTCCTACTCTGACTCCTACTCCTACTCCTACTCCTCAGGACATCTGTGCATTTCATGGCACACAGAACCATCTACTTTCCCTGAACTCCTAGGAATATGTCAAGATAAAAATAGGGATCATTTGGATTACTAAATCATACCTCCTTCAGATGCTTCAGCCATGAAATGAGTATTTATGTAGGAAAGGCTCAAAGAATATCCTCCAGCTACTACAGCCTTCAGCACTCAATGGCAAGCAAATGGCCTGTCATTAAAATACAAACTCACAAGTCTCCATGAAGATTACCCAGACACTAGTCCACTGGAAAACCTTTAGCAGATCTGAAACAAAGGTAAGTGAAGAATTAAACTCTTCAGAAAGAATTAAATTCTGAAAGACCCAGAGCCATTGCACTCCCAGACTTGCTCATTTAGGTCACTGTTAGACATTGTGCTGGAAATAGCAGACCCAACACAGCTCTGCACACAGATTCGCAACTCCGGCTTTCAAACTTTTTGTGGCTATCCTTTAGAGTTCTTCACAGTCTTTGAATCAACCAGATGTGGACACCTAGATGGTGGTACAAGATGGGCAGAAGAAACAGGTGCATTTGAACAGGTATTTCCTTTCCTCATGATAAACACTACTTCCTTTTATTGTGGATTTGGAGCAACAAAGGTTCTTTTTTCACCATTCTGCAGACTAGGCAGTGGATCTGAGGAGGGCAAATCCTTCTGTCTCAAGTTCCTCATTGAACTTGTAAAAATAATTCCAAGGTAATACTTGAGTCGGGCTATAGAACAAGACTCTCAACTCATCACAACTTCCAGACTCCAGGACAGCACAGAAACCGTTCTACCCACCTTGTGAAACCTAATAACCCATAGTCTTGTTCTTGTTTATGCTTTCAGCGCAGCTAGGCCTGCATGGCTGGGATCATAGATTAAGTCACTGGGAAGTGAAAGTGAAGGCACAGGGTAGCCAGGGAAGAGCGATAGGGAGAAGGGAAGTGGAGCAGTTTGCTTCCCAGCACTTTGCCATGCCTATGGGAATGTGGAGTATCTTTGAGTCCATGGTGATTGATGATTGTTCAAAACTCTTGCACAATGTCTAGTTCTAGTCTTGAGGTGTAGTTGTAGAGGTTGAAACAATCTAAATGACAGAAGACAGTACTGGACAACCTGTCTGAGTGTGGTGCTGCGCTCCAGGGATGCCTTAAAGCAGAGCAGGTGGCTGCTCCTTAATTCCAGCTCCTCAAAAGAAACCATTGATTTGGAAAGTTTATTTTTATTTATGTTTCCCTTCCAATTTGGCTGATTGGCTGTCAGGATTTTTCCTTCATATCTTCATTTCCAAAAACTGCTTTCAGGAAACACCCAGTCATTGGTTTCTAACATTAATACTGCATGACAGCAAGTGAATGCAAAGAGTGATCTGCTATTTTTGCTGCCAACACTGAGAAACTTTCAAGGACAGAAGAAACTGTTGCTAGATGGCTTAATGCAACAAGGTCTGTGAGATAACACAGTGTGACAGCAAACTCCTGAAGCTGGGTACTCTGAGCATATCTTTACACTTTCTAGACCAATAAATAATACTTCCTGTGCTCTACCAGGTACTCTGAGTAAAGACAGGATTCCATAGTTTTTATGTAGCTCTGACTTTGAGTTCCACATACGTTCCTTTGCCCCTTCCCCTCAGAATAAGTGTATATATTGAAGCTGGCTTGGGTGTTTCAAAACTACAATGCCCTTGCCATAGTTTTGCCTGCCCTGTGGCTGGGCTGCAAGACTTCTGCTGTGAGATTATTGCACTGCATTTGGGACCCAAATGGAAGATGATGTTTTTCCATGTCAGTAGCCTAAAGAGAAAGACTTCAGTGTCATTCCAGAAAGTGGAGAAAGACAGCAAACAGATCACTCTGGCAGTTTTGCGTAGAGTGGCTGGGCAGATAGGGAACACAGTGTAGAGGCTGCAAGGCCAGATCTTTCCCAAACCCAGGCAGAAGTAAAGGAGTAACTGAGCAGCACTGGAAACCACAAAGAGGGAAAATGCTGTGGCCATTTGCACAGGTAAGGTGTGGAGCTGAAGGGACAGGACAACAGAAGTTAATTAGCTGAATTGGTAGAACTACAGAAGTTCAGTCAACAGAAGATTTCCCCAGATGGCACATGCAGGCATTTAAGAAGGCAGAGATTCCCTCAAAGGTCAGCATTGCAGGAGTCGGAATTACTTCATGAGGGATAGTTTCCTACCAGTGGCTATGGGGCAAGAATCTGCTGCTTGTGTGGAAAGGATATTTGTTTTCTCAGCTGGAGAGCTCTCCAAATGGCAGCAGCTGAGACAAATGCAGACACCTTCAGGAGAGTAGCAGGGCAGTAGCAGTCCTCTGAAACTTATATTCTCCTCAGGTGGCCCAAGTTTTCTAGGCAAGAGAGCAAAGATTGCAGTGCACCTTGGAGGAGCAAGGAACATAAAGAACAGCAAGGAGCAACTTGATGCTGTCAGAAAATTCTGTTACAGACCTGGGTACCTGTGCTTTTAATTAAAAGAATTAAAAGAAAATTAAATTAAATTAAATGAGAGGCAGCTGCTGGGCACAAAGGCTTTATGCAACATCAAGGTGAGAGGCTCCAGGGTCACAAATTGGTATTTTGATCCATCTCTGTTCCATTGATGCTGGTCAATGGAAGGGGCCAAGTTTCAGCTGTCAGAGGTAGCTGAGGATGAGGATGTTGCACTCTATGCAACACTGTCAATTGCATGCACGAAGACAGGAATATACAGAAATCCAGAGTCTTAGTGTCCAAATGAGATGCAGAGAACAAGGACTTAGGTTCATGGAGCACTAGGAAGCCTTCTGAGACAAGAGGAGTCTGAACAAGAGGAAAAAGCTGCACTTTGATCTTAAGAGAGGAAGGCTTTTGGGCCTAAAAATTCAAAAGCTCCCAGAGGAATATTTAAAGTAGAAGCTGGGGGAAAGCAAACAGGCATAGAAGAGCATGTAGTGTAGACTGATGTGATGTTAAAAAGTGGATACATCTAGGGTTCAATGCCTCTTGGGAAAAAACAGAAAGAAAATTAAAATAAAAATTGCAATAAGCAAGTCAGACCATTAATGCCAGTTAATTTTCACATGCAAAATTAAATGTTGGTGTCAGGGCAAACCTGGCACATCCTTGAATGGAGCCTGGAGAACGAAATTAGGGATGCTGAAATGGTTACCTTCAAAGAACAGTAATAATGGCCATCACAAGAACTGGGATATGGACGATCAATAGTATTCAGTGTTACTTTGCTGATAGTTTCATGGCGAGGAAGGAGTCAGTGCCCTCCTTCCCCTCTGCAAAGCTCTGGCCAATGCCCTCCTACCTCCCAGCACCAGCAGAATATTCCCCATGTCCACTGAGTGCTCTTCTGCTCCTGTGAGAGTACTGCCTGGGCCTTCACGGCCCATTCCCACTGGCACAACTCCTGTGATGCCATCTGGTGCCTGTGCCCAGCAGGACAGGAGCAGGTGGATAAGAGGTGAGTGCCAGTGACTCCAGTGTCCACAGTTTCAGTGAGCACCTCCTTCTCTGAATAGGGTTGGGGGCTTCCTGTGATGCAGAGTGATAGCCAGTGGCCCCCATGTGCAGCATTCCCCATGCCCAGGAGGCCCAGAGGGCTGTCTCTGCCCCCTGTGGCTACTGTGCACAGATGAAGCCAGCTGGGAATGGTGGTGGGATGAAGTTACTGAATGGCTTCAAAAACCTCCCACATGGCCACCTCTAGTGAGTCAACGGACAAATGTGGGGGGTGAAAATCTGCACATAAAACAGAGGGGCCAGCAACAGCAGGCAGTGACTGTTCCCCTGTGCTCAGCACTGGTGAGGCCACACCTCAAATCCTGTGCTCAGCTGTGGGCCTGTTACCAAAAGTCAGTGAAAATAAAAACTCCTTAACACTAATGTAGCATTAAGAAGCCAGCATTCTTTATTCATCTGGATGCATGACGGGATAGGTCCTCTGAAATCTTATTCATGCTGTATTTTACATACATATTGATAGGATTTCCTAGAAGAACCATATATATGAGGATCATTTCCCTGAAGTCATTAACATACGTTCCCTCCCCTCTCTCCATGTGCTCTGTCCTGGGGGTCTCTTTGGTAATCCCTGGTGGTCAGGGACACCAAAGTCACAGCTGATGGCTTATTGAACTGGTAAAAGTTGGCACAACTGGGCTGGCTGCTTTCCAATTCTTCTTCCTACAGAATAAGCATTGTGCAGTTCCATAGGTCAATGGTTTTTGAAGAATAAGCGTTGTATTAACCCACCCATTGTGCAAACAATTCTTCATCTGGCAATAGGCCCTTCTCTGCAAGAAGGATATTGAGGTGCTGGAGTGAATCCAGAGGAGGGCAACTGGAGCTCGAGTTCCCCGAGGAGCTGCTGAGGGAGCTGTGTTGTTCAGTGTCAAGAAAAAGAAACCTGGGGGACTCAACACTCTCTACACGTGCCCAAAAGCAGGTTGTACACAGAGGCAGGCAGGGGTTGGTGTCCTTCTCCCAGGTAGCAAGTGACAGGACGAGAGGACAGCCTCAAGCTGTGCTGGGGAGGTTTAGGTTGGACATTAGAAAGAATCACAGAGAAGTTGCCCAAGGGGATGGTAAAGTCAGTGTCCCTGGAGTTGTATAAGGAAAGACTGGATGTGGCACTGAGTGCTATGTTTTGGCTGACGTGGTGGGATTCGTGGGAGATCTTTTCCAACCTGCCCGCTCCGTGGTGCCGCAGCAGCTGAGCCATTCCGGCGCACAGCAGACAGCCCGCGGTCCTGGCGCGGGGGCACATCGAAATGGCGGCAGCCCCGCCGGCGCCGCTAGCCTGGGCCGGCAGCACGGGAACGAAGAGGGAAAAGAGGGAGCCCCGCTCGAGTCTCGTCCGTACGCGGAGGCAGCGCAGCCCGCGGCTCCCGGGCCCCGCCTGCACCGGGGGCGGTGCGGCCGCCGGCCCGGCCCCGTCGCTGTGGGCGGAGGCGGCGGCCATTGGCCAGGGCCGGCTCCGAGATGGCGGCGAGCGCGGTGTCCAACCCGTCCCAGCTCCTGCCGCTCGGTAACCACGGGGGATTCCCGGCCCCCGGTCGGGGCCCGGCCCGTGGTCCTTGTGCGGGGGCCGCGGTGGCTGCGGCCCCTCTGGGGAGCCGAGCTGCGCTGGCGCCGGGCGGGGAGCGGGAGCGCCGGGCGGCGGGGCCCGCGCGCGGCCCGGGAGGATGGGAGTGGGGGATAGGTGTGGGGGTGTTGGGGTCGGGGGGCTGAGGTGAGGTGTGGGGCTGTGGGACTGTCTGAGGGAGGCCAGTGGGAGTGGGGATGGGTGTAAGGATCGGGGGGGTGGGTGGTTTGTGTGGGAGAGTAGAGGGGGAGTGTGTAAGGTTGTGTGGAATGTGTCTGTGTTTGTGTAAATAAGCAGAAAAAAACCCGTAAGGCACGAAACACTTGCTTTGTAGAACCTATGCTTTTCTGTGTATCTACAGAACTTGTGGACAAGTGCATCGGTTCACGCATTCACATCGTGATGAAAAGCGACAAAGAAATAGTTGGGACACTTCTAGGATTTGATGACTTTGTCAGTATCCTTTGATGGATGTTTAAGTCTGTCTGATTCATGCTCTGGTCTAAGTGATTTATAGCTCTTCAGAGTTTTTAGTTCACTGACTAGAACCTTTTTATATGGATTGGTTGTATTCTGGTATTTTCAACTTTCAGGTAAAATTGCATTTGGCCTAAGATGAAAATAGCATTAATTAGTCTAGTTTTAAAATCTGGGCGTTATTTTCCTTGAAACTGGATTTTCAGATATGGTGCTAGAAGATGTTACAGAATTGTAAGTACGTTTTCTGCCTATTGTTGCTATTTAATGTTTGGTTCACTGAAACAAAACACTATGTAAGGTCTGCTAGAAAAATGTTTCTACATTTATGGAATAATTACCAGCTAACTAGTTTAACATTGGACTTAAAACTATAGAAGGTGATCTGTTCAGGACAGCCATGTCATAGAGTAGCTATTGCGTGGTTTATACTTGTATGGGGATCCTATTTGTAGTCCTAATTATGCATGGGTTGTGTGAGAAACTTTCCAGTACTTAATTTGGTTTTACACTTCTTTAAGACCTAGGCAAATATTCAGCGAGGTAGCTAACTTAAATGTTTTTACTTTATCATATCATGTTGATATGTATATTCAAAAAATTGTCAGCCTGTAGAGGGTGAATACACATCTCCATGTACTGAGTAGAAGAGACCTTTTCAGTTAGCTTTCTGTACCTAGGTGCTCCATTTATCAAGATCATGCTGCAGTGTAGCTGATTTATTTGTTAGTTCCAACCATGGTCACCTTAATGCAGAGATTTCTGTCAGTTCTATGGTCGAATCTGGAGCCATTGTCCCTGGTTCTGTGTTCTTACTTACTCTTTCTAATGCTCCTTCAGTGAGATCACACCTGAGGGCAGAAGAATCACAAAGCTGGACCAGATTCTGCTCAATGGAAATAACATAACTATGGTGAGTCATCAGAGGCTGCGTGTGTTGACTTTCTGTGCCTGTTAATCGACTGGTGATGGTATTCAACTCCTTTAAGCTGAGCTTTCCTGGTAGTTCCGTTACATCAGGAAGTTTAAGTAGCTTATCTGCATAGCTGGCCACAAAGCCTGGACTTCCAATTTTTTTTTGTGGTTAGAGGAGGGCTAAAGTGGAAATATTTGAGTCTAAGTTGGCTCTGTATGAATGAGGAGTTGTCTCCATTGTGTTGTTTTACCCATCTTGCACTTCTCCATTGTGTGTCAGAGCAGGTGCCATCCTGTGTTAATTTCTAAGCCTTTTATCTGCTTTGATGATTGTTCTGCATGTTGAAAGGATAGCATATGTTCTGACTCCCTGTATGGTGTGAAATTCCTACCATCCAGTTACACTGGGGTACACTGTGTTGCCCTTGAAAAAGAACCTGCTGAATTTTCAGCAAGACATAGATACATGTCTGCATCAGATCTCATGTCTCTTCTGGGGACATATTTTCCCCATGGAGGAAGTCCATGCTTTAGACTTACTCTTATTTTGATCCCAAAACCAGTGAAGCTCTTTCTCTTTAGAAGTTCTCAGCTGATAATGAAAAAGATATCAGTAAAAGTAGTGGTTAATATTTTTTTTCCCTTCTGTATTTTTTTTTTTTTCTGTTCTTCAGTTCTTTGTTTCCTTTGCAAGGATGTGCTATGCTGATTTAGTCCCTGTTGCATTTTTGGTTTGTGCATCTCGGGAAATAATTGACTTCCTCTGTAGGGAGGGGAGAGTCAAAAAGCCACTTTTGTGGTCTAGCATGAAATCTTCATGTCCTCAAATGTTTGTTGCAAAGTAAGAGCTGTCATGTATGGGTTTGTAAAACTTAACTCTATGGCACTAATGCAAAAATGTCTTACTCTTTTGTAGCTGGTTCCTGGAGGAGAAGGACCTGAAGTATGAAGACATGATATTCAGATGTACTTTATATATATGCAAAATCTAAATAGAGATTTTGGGGTAGAAATGTGTTTGGCTATGGATTGTTTGTTTGCTTTACTTACATGCTTGACATTTTACAAAAGACAGCTCTTTAGGAAAGGTGCTGGTGGTAATGTTGACTTTGTAAGTTGAAATCATTACTTTCTTGTAAAGACCCCTGAACCTCTTCTGAATAAAAGGCTTTTTCTTTGTTGGTTACTGTGTTCTGTCAGGTGAGTGCACTAGTTTGATAATTTTATAACTACTTGATGGAGTAGAAAAATGACAGTTGTGTTTCGGTTGCCATCAGTCTTCATTTTTTCTACATCTGTTGTGTTTGTTTCTGACCTAAAATATAAAAGTCTATATAATACAGAAGTCATGAGCCAGGACATTACTGTGCTTTGGCATACAGGCAGATACTGAACTGGATGTTTTGTTCAAAGTCTGTGTCACTGGAAACCATGTGGCAGAATTCTGTAGAGTTCTGAAAGCCCTTCAGACTGGGTGCATCTGTTTGATGCTTAGCAGCCTTTGGTTGTGCTGGCCTTGAGGTTCAACTTTTGTGGACCATTTTGCTTGGTGGTTATGCTTCCTTATAGCAAAGGCCTTGCAATGGCATTTGGCAAGTGAGAACAGACAGACCTGACCTGTTTCCTGTTTTGAGACTAAAAATCCCCAAAGCTGGTGTTCAGACTTCTCACTGGTGTCAGGGATGACTGCTTTCACCACTCGATGATTCTGTGTATACTCAAATTGGGAGGTACCTGTGGCTGCTTACATAGTTCGAAACATTCATTTTAGAGTAAACAGGAGCCTTGTATCTCTATCTGTTCTCCTGTGATATAAAAGTGTGACAGATATTGCAAGCTACTATGTTAGGATAATTTCTGTAAGTAATTGCTGTTATGTTATGATGCCATGCTCCCAGTGCAGCTTATGCTTCCATAGTACACCTCTCAGCTGGCTTTGGAGAGGAATCACAGATGCCTGCTGTCACTGTAGACAAGGTGGGTGCAGCATGGGCTCATGTGGACAGGGTGTGCTTTTCCTTCCCATCACCAGAAGAAAAGAGTTGAAGAAGGGGGCTCAAAAGCAAGATTCTGCAAGGAAGCTGCTGTACTGGATCTTTCTGCCTTGCTTAATCTGAAAGAAAAGCTGCCTTCTGCTAGCTGGGTGTGAGCTCCCAAAGCAGTGAGAAAGCCTGTTAAAAGGGAGAGGGAGTCCCTCCTCTCTCACAGGGAAAGTCTGGCTTCTGGCTCATGTGTTCTAAGTAAGTGATCTGTGATTGCAGTGTTTAGATTGTGTCCTGGCAATCTATACCATTACTCCTTGAGTGTGTTTGGTTTTTCCCTTTCTGTCTCCATTTCTTTTTCCAGCTTTTTTTAAATATATGTATTAAAAAAGATACCGTTTTTAAAACTTAGATTTGATTGAAGCATCATCTATGAGTGTTTGTGTCAAACACTTTATTTCCTAGAAATAATTTGAGTTTTCACAAGAAATGAGAGCACTTCAAAGATATCTAGTCAGGGCAGAACTACTGTGTTGGGTTATTGTAGAATAAGATTTTGGTTTTGTTCCAGTATATGCACTTAATTTCTATTTCACTCAGTGTTCTGGAAACAATCACGCTTCTGAGAGAAGAGTAGATCTTGACTCAAAAGCAGCTTTTATTCTGACAGCACAAACATCTTGTTATCTCAGAAGTTTGTTGCCTTGAAAAAGCCCAAACAACTTGGTACTGCCTCAGTTCTTGCTTGATTTGCTGTGTTTTGTTCCATTCACTCCAGAAGGAGTGCTAAGACTTTTAGGAAGACGTTTTAATTCCTGACTCACAGGTCTACAGAGATCCCTCTAAAGAGTTTATGCATGCAAAATGCTGTTAGTCTTTTGTAAGATAAAACATTTTTTCACTATCAGCTGAGAATACAAAGTATTCTAGGTAGGTCTGGTTTTCTTTGCATTCATTATTCCCGTAGCCTGTTGCTTTGGAAGTGCAGCTAATAAACTTGTCCATTCAGCAACTAAGTAGTCATGGTTTTTGTTCTTCCCCCCCTAGAAATCCAAGTGCTTAATCATACTGCACTGTCTTCTTGTGTATATGGATCATCTCCAAGATACTATTCAGGATGCTACCACATGTAGGTCATTTAAAATAATAACCTTAGACTTCAAAAGATAGGAAATTGAATGAGCCTTTAAGTTTAGGGCAGGATAACTCCAAGATAAATGCATGTTATGAAATGCACAGTGGTGATTCTATTCAGATTCATGTTTGTGTTGCTTTCTGTTTTTCTTTAGGATAGTGCTGGTGCAGTGATCTTTAGTTCCACTACCTGGCTATCTTAGTATGGAGAAAGTTCCCTTCTACCTACTATTTCAGTATACTTGCTCATTCTGGTTGGGGTATAATATCCTCACTGAAATTATTACAATGACTCTTGTCAGTCCCAGGTCACTGGTAATTCTTAACACAGTGCTTCCAAAGCTTATCATTGTAATTTAGCAGTCTTATCAGTAATGTGTCATTTTGCAGGTGTTATATTTTGGTCAATTGAACTACAGCCAGACACCATGTAAGCAGAGAACACCAGAATATTTATTCCAGTTTCAATTCCAATTAATCTGACCTCAAGACAGTTGATACAAGGAGTCAGCAAATATTTTCAGGAGTTTACTTTGACATTTTCTAATTACCATAATGAATAGGAATCAAAATTCAGCTTTGTTTTGACTGGTGCTGCATTAATGCTGGGCCACACTTTTGCTTTCTGCTAAAAGAGAGAATGGATTTGAATTAATAATTTATCAACGGATTCTGCAGCATGATGTCATTTTCATGAAGACACTATGGTTGGTTAATTAACCTGTTAGAAACAAAATTAGGTATTCAAAAACTATGCCATTTTGTTTCAGAGGTCCTTGCTTATGTTTGTACAATATATTGCATAAATCTCCCTTTTATGCAAAACTCAATACAGCATTTTTCTATAAATTTTTGTAAGTTCACATTCTCTTGAAGCCTTTTAGAAGCTCAAAATAAGCATTATAAATTAAGTATTTGTTGTTTTCACAGGAAAACAGTTAAAAGAAAACACTTTAATCTATGATGAAGAAATACTTCAAGCAGATTGAATAGGATCTTCATACATCAGTACTTAATACAATTTGTTAGCTGTTTTTTTAATAATGTATTTAATCAAAATTTTAAAATACATTTCAATATGGCAAGGTACTTTAGTTTTATTCCAATTAATGGGTACTCTGAATTTACAGAGTAACCTTTTTAATCAAACCTGTAAACATTAGTCAGTATTTGGGTGGTTGGTTGGTTTTGTGTGCTTCTTTTAATGGATTAACATTTTTTTTTTCAGTACTGATTAAAAAGAGTGGCCTTCAGCAGCTATTAAGTGCAAAGTGATTTGGCAAGTCCTGCTGTCACCTGCATTCCCCTGGCATTCCATTTGGTGAAGAACTTGATGTGGCAGCAGCCCCTGCACAGGAAGAGGAAAACACAGGTTATAAGGCTTTATAAATAAGCAGTTAAAATGTTTTTCCATTCAGTAAGCACTGGTATATTGTCATGATTTAGGAATGTTACTCCTCAGTTCAGTGCCCCACCGAGGCTCTCCCAAAGTGTGCATAGTTTCAGATGTTGATGCACGGTAAGGAATATGATACCTACTCAATGCTGTGCTCTCTGGTCCAGGGGTCTATGAGACTACTTTTGAAATTAATTCCATTGGCTGACTCAGCTCTTTCTGGGGTTCCACGTTACCACAGGCCTTGCTTTTCAAGACTCAAGATGGTTTTCAGGCACAGGGTACATCTCCAGCTATCTGGTGGTGGATTCCACCCCTGTCAGCACATAGCGCTTGGCTTTCCAAGTTTGTGGGAGTGCAGTCTAACTAGCCAGGCCTTCTCATATTTGTATTTTGAGCGTTGCTCCCCATACCATAGAGGCTTTACTTGGCCTGTTTGACTGCAGTGCATGTTTCAAAGCTAAGGATAATCTGGGAAATAGTATCCATGGTTAAGCCCACCCCTCAGTCATGAGTCCAATCCACCTGTCCATTGTTGTAATGTTCTTCAGTAGCCAACTCACAGGTACGTGTGCATCTACGTGATGTGATTTTCTATCCAGCAGTGATGGCTTGTCAAACTTCAGCAGTCCAGATGGGTTTACCTCTCTGCTGCTAATTTATCTCTTTCCATTGATCCAGCCACCCCTACAGAGCATTTGCTACAGTTCAGTGGTCAGTGTAGAGGTAGGGCGCTGGCCATTTCTCTTGTTTAGTGATATCTAAAGCCATCTGGATGGCTTTCAGCTCTGCAAATTGACTTGATCCACCTTGTCCTGCAGTAGCTTCTGCAACTTGCCGTTTAGTACTCCATATAGCAGCTTCCCATTTTTGATTTATCCTCAACATATGGCAGGAATCGTCAATGATGAGGGCATTTTGCTTTTTCTGGTAGCTGATTATATGGTGGGGCCTCCTCAGCACATCACCTTTTTGTCCTCCTCCTCTGATGATAGTCCAAAATATTTGGCTTCCTTGATTTCTGAGATTCCTGGGTGATTGGTATTTCCTATTTGAGCCTGCTGTGTGATCAACACTACTCACTTATTCCATGTAGCATCAGTACGCTGATATGTGGTAGGGACTTTCCCTTTAAACATCCAGCCCAGCACTGGCAGTCAGGGTGCAAGGAGGAGCTGTGCTTTGGTGCCAATCACTTCCAAAGCAGCTCAAACCCCTTCATAAGCTGCCAGGATCTCTTTTTCAGGTGGGGTGTAACACGCCTTAGTTCTCTTGTATCTCTAAGTCTGGAACCTAACTGGTCATCCTGAAGTCTCCCTGGGTACTTTTTGCCAGAGACTCCAGTAAAGACCACTCTCCCTATCTGCGACTGCAGATAGAGTAAAATTTTCACACACGCTCCTATCCTGACTGGCCCAAAGGTGACTGCATGAAGAACCTCCTGTTTAGTTCATTCAAAAGGTTGTTGTTGTTCAGGATGCCACTTCAAATTATTCTTCTTCCATGTCACATAATATAATATAATATGTAATATAAAAATAAAATAATATAATAATATAATAAGTCTTACAATCTGACCGCAGTCTGTAACATGCATCCTCCAGAAACCTGCAGTGGCTAGGAAAACCTGTTCTTGCATCTTGCTGTTTGGTGGGGATGTAGCTGCTTGTTTATCCACCACACCTTTGGAATCTGGTGACATTCCCTCTTGCCATTTTACTTCTAAAAGCTAAATTTCCTGGGCAGATCCCTTGAGTTTGCTTTCCTTTGCTTTATGGAAAAACCAGCCTTCAGGAGGATCTGGATTATTTTCTCCCCTTTCTCAAGAACTTCCTTTGCTGTGTTGCCCCATACAATATCATTGATGTACTGCAAGTGTTCTGGAGCCTCGCCCTTTTCTAATCCAGCCTGGATCGGCACGTGGCAAATAGTGGGCCTGTGTTTCCACCACTGGGGCAACAGTCTATTCGGTCTCCACTCTCCATTGGACTTACACATTGGCCATATAGGACTACTAAAGGGTCGGCAAATCTTGCTGACCACTTCCTGGCTCTCCTGCTCTCAAATCTTCTTCTACATGGGGGTCAAGGAGTCCTGGTTGGTGTGATATTGCCAACACTGCACTGTTGTAGTAACCATCAGCACCTGTTGTTCTTCAACCCTCAGGAGTCCCACAGCAGAAGGGTCCTCTGAGAGACCAGGCAAGAATACCTTTCCCTCACATTTGACAAGAACCATCTCCAGAGGCTGAGAGTTTCTGTGCTCTTCCCAATCCTCTTGTCAATGCTCATATTCCAGGACAGAGATTGGCTTCACTGCCATCCAGTAGCATATCATGGGCCACAACATCCCAGAATTAGACCAGCGAGGTCACCAGGGGCTCTCCTGACTAGTGGTTGAAATCTTATTTGTATATTTTACAGTTCACCTGGAGATTGGGATTGGGTGATTATCTCTGGCGCTGCCTCTTCCTCCTGTTTAGAGGGTTCTACTTCCTCTTCATCCCTCATGAAGTGAGCTGATTACATGCTGGATTTCTTTTTCTGAATAGGATTGACTGCTACTGGCAGGGGTTGCTCCTCTGGTTCAGAAGCAGTTTGAGTGGCCATGGTGCTGATTGGTCTGCTTTCTTTCTCCTTCTCCTGGGGGTAATATCTGCTGTTGAGCAGTGTCCAGTAAACAGTAGCCAGGACAGAACATGTTGCACAAATTCATGCCTCTCTGGAGCTACTACAGCATTTTTCTTTGACATATTTAATCACTTTGACAGGTTATTGTAGTTGTTAATGGGTGAACTGCTAAACCATTGGAGAAGTCCTCCCAACACTGGCTCATGTCCACCTATATTCCAAGCCACTCATTACTATCCCACTTCAGGGCAGATCTCTGAATAACCTCCCTAGAAATCTTTCTTGGCTCTAAATATGGTGTGCATTGCACTGAAGAGACCTAGCAGACCTAACAACATGAACATACTTTCCTTAACATCTAAAGGGAATTCAGAATTCTTAAAAGCTGTTGTAATAGGCCTGAAAGGGGAGAAGTGGGTGAAAGACTGGGGAAAATCATCCTCCTCTTTCCCCCCAACTAGATCCCAGACAGGTGTTTCACTAGCCAAGGCTGGGCCATTCAGAAATTATGGTAATGTCTCTGTGACAACATATTTAAGAAGGGGAAAAAAAAGTTACTGCACAGATGTAGCTGTGGCCAGAGAAGAGCAGAAGAATATTTGAGAGGAACAACTCTGCAGACACCAAGGTAAGTGGTGAAGGAAGTGGGGAGTTGAGATCCACCTGCAGTCTGTGGAGAAGAGACATGCTCAGGTGAATGCTGAGAAGAGGCTGTGAAGCCATGGGAGGCCTGTGCTGGAGCAGGGACCTGCAGGCCTGTGGAGAGAGTAGCCCATGCTGGAGTAGGTTTCCTGCAGGACTTGTGACCCTTTGGAGGACCCATGCTGGAGCAGCCTGTTCTTGAATCGCATG